TTGTAGTATCGGGGCCTCCATACCCAAATAGGAAACCTCCAAGGGACAATAGAGAGGGAGTGGTTGGCGTAGTGCGCAAAGCCTCGGCTTGGTAAGCCGAAGGTCCCGGGTTCGATTCCCGTTGGGCCCCTCAATATTTTTCCGTCGTCGGTTCCTACAATATTTATAAATTTGCTTATATATGGGAGTTAGTATGATTATTTCAACAATTTGAACGAGGTTTGAACCGGTTTGAATGTTGTGTTGAAATACTTAATTTACAGAATAGTTAATTACTCAGCATCGCTAACCTAACCAGTCGCTGAAAAAATGAACTATTCAAAATTGTATCGTGAATGGCCACGTTGCACTAGAAATTATCCGATCTCCTTGGTATAGTGGTTCTGGTTAACCCTAAGTGCGTTCTTTAAGTAGCCAAGTAGAAGTAACTAATGCTTGATCTGATCTCTTCAGATCGATAATCACCAGTTAACCCCTTGGCCTACACCCACGAGTGAGACTCGTGGCAAGGAATTTGGGCCATAAACAATAAGCACGAGCCTGACTCGTGGTACTTCGTTCGGACCAAACGTAAACAAGACGAGCCTGGCTCGTGGTACATCATTCGGGACAAACGAAAACAAAACGAGTCAGACTCAAGTGTTCTCGATATTCTCTTACTTTAGTTATATACGTGTAATCCTTCGTTGCGTTCACACGTTTCGGTTAAACAGCTCAATGGCTCGACGCGCGACCTTCTTGCTTACTACGGCCCGAGCAGTCGGGAGATAGCGGGTAGGCCAAGGGGTTAATCGTCCTCTAAGCTAATTAGCCAGTCGTAACAAATAATTTCGTTACAGTTACATTATCGCAACTGAACATTGTTCCGCGGAAGGTTCGATCAAAGTCAAGGATCGGTTGATCGACGAAAACTCGGACAGCTGTTTCATTTGCGGTTTCATCGTATCCAGCGATCTCGGCGAAGTAATCTGGTGAAACGAACGGAAATTTCCTGCGGCAGAAAAATTCCCGAGGAGGTGGGTCCATTTGTGTTTTCCTTGGATGTATTCGATCGTCGTCGATATTGCTCAACCCCGGCCCCACTTTTCCCTTCTGCCTTCGAGCACAAGTGTATATACGGTTCTGATATCGACTTCCTGACTTCTTGCCTCGATTAAGTTAATTCTACTCGTGTTTTGTCTGGAACACTTCGTAAGGGGGAGCAAGGAGAAGGAATCGGTCGGGTTGCTTTCTTTGGTGAACATTCGACTCCAGATTTTCTTGTTCGTCGAGGCTGTCGGTGAATTCTTCTTAGCTTTGGCTAAGTGTTTCACGGAATTTGTGTTGCTTAGTTGCATCTCGTAAGTGTAATTATTCTGGAATTTGTAAGAAGTTTATGGCTAGATTTATTGAGAAGTGAGAAGAAAGCAAAGGACGAATTTTAGTTTTGGAAAGTAGAATAGAAAAACGAAGGATAAATATGCCGTTTGGCTAAATCCAATTTGGAAACTTGATTAGATGGATCTAATAAAATTCTCTTTATTTTAATTTAATTATTTGAATGAATTATTATTTTTTTATAACGCGCTTAATTAGTCTGATAGACGTATGATATGATAAAGCAGTTAATCTACCTTGCATGGAAAATTAAAAAATTTTAGTCAAACGTAGGAAAATCAATTCGTTCCAAAACCTTGTTTTCTTGTTCATTTTAAACATTTGATTTTCTTTAGAATTATTAGAATTGAATATTAAATTCAATTAGGATACTTAGAATATTCATTATCCCATTATATGTTAGGATATTCAATAATTAGGATTATTAACTTATATTTTAAAGGAACACAAAAAAATTGAAAATAAATGGAAATATTTTTGTAGTTGATCAATCGATCGAGAAATCCATCAAATTCTGCATCTTCTTATCAGACTGGACCATGATTGTTTTATAATAAATTAAAGTATCGACAAGCCTTTCATTATATCTTTCGTCTCGTCTAGATCATAAAGCGATTTCTATCGTCTCTAATATGAAAAACAAAAAGTAGCCCTGAGAAAATGTACGAAAGGTTGAATCCTCGAAAAGGAATCGATGGACCTTTGTGGACCATGTTGTTCGTATCGCTTTCAACAAATTCCTTTTCTCCAAACATAATATTCCAACTGTGTTATCGGGAACAAGTTATTCGCTTTATGGTTAGATACAGGGATCCTGCAGCGACAGCCGTCTCAATTCTCTCCCTCAGGCTTCCAGTACCCTTGCTACTTCCGAGGAAAGCTGGATCGATACGCTTTTATGTGTGTTCCGTATCAAAGACAGAGAATTGTTCGTTAATCTTTAAATTGTTGCCACGATTTATGACACCGAGAAAGGTTATTTTTCAGTTAGAAGGCATCTCCGTTCCTTTTTCTTTGAATTTTACAAATGCCCGTTGGCTGATACTGTTTTTAGTCGATTAGTCGGGATTTTGAGAATTTCGTTTCGGTCGAATCTTTGATAACAATCGTGTTATAAAGCTAGATGAGAGTCTTGAGGCTTTCAGAGCTTGGTATATTGCAGTTCGTACCGTTTGATAAGCATTAATTATCCAGTGATATTCGTGAACGGTCGTTCAGTTTCTTTGAAAGAAGAATGCAATGTGAGATTGCGAGAAATTGAATTAAAGGTCCTCAAGAGGAAATTAAGGTACAAAGAAATTATATCGAATAGTGATTTAAAGAATCTTCTCAAAATTTCTATCTGTTGTGTAATTTAAAAAATCACGAGGATTATTAGAAATTTCTAGCGATCGCAAACTCTTTTATCATTTTTGGTTAAAATTATTTCCGAAATTTCACTGTCTTTTGCAAAATTGACTGGTTGCGCTTTTCAGTGTTTAACGTAATCGTAATCCTGTGTGGATGTGTAGTAAAACACGTCTGCTATTGCTGCTTTCATTTCTCATTTGTACACACTTAACGAGATGAGAATACATAGTCGTGGTTATTTTAAAAAGTGGTTCGGTAGAAGTACGTCGCTTCTTCAATATAATTATGAAAAGTGCAACTTCAAAGCAGTCACTCTGGTCGAAAAACTTAATCATTTATATTGGCCATTCGTAACCAGAATTTCGTAACCAGAGTGTTAATTTCTCAAAAATCTCCTCGAAACCTTTCAATTATCATCTCCAACTTAAGCAGCAAGCGACATTTCCTCGACGAATTTTCAAATAAGAATGTTCCAAACAATTACTATTTTTGGTCCCCGTTAGAAGCACGCCGATATATGTCCACGCAACTTTCGCATTCCAGAATTTCATTAAACTCACCGAAACGATTTATCGATATATTATAACTTCTCCACAAATAGAAATTCGCTTAATGGAAATTGAATTTTTAAAGCTCACATCGAGTCCAAAGTTAAACATTCCTCGGCGATTTTTCATTATTAAAATATGAAACGAGCAAACGAAACAGCGGTTTCATCGATTATTAGAGCAATTTAATTAGGATTCATGCTTCATCGACTAGCCTGAACTTTACCAGCGTTACTCAGTATCTACTTACCTTCTCTATTCTACAGTTTCGTTCAAAAAAAAAAATCGTAGCCTTCGTAAAATTCGAACGAGCACACACACTTTTGTTCATTACTATTATCATTTGTTTTATTTATTTCAGTGTCTAATTTGAGCACAAGGTACCAATATAATTCAAGCAGAACCAAAGGTCTCTTTCATACATCTCGACCCAGCAACGCCGATTTTCTAAAAACCGACGCGGCAAATAGGAAAAGCTAGAATTCTTTCCGGGAATCACTCGAAGCATAGATATGTATGTATCGTAAAAAGTGAAAACTATCTTTTCTTCTTTTTTCTCTCTTCATCTTTTACGCGGGAAATGGGTACGTTTCCCGCGAAACGCCACGAATTCGCTATGGAAAAACAAAGCAGACGGTAATAATTCGCGAAGCAACGTTAATTACGCCAGCAATTCACATTTACGGGTTTGAATGATCAATCAAGCGAAGGCCGTCGATTTTTTGGATATTTCCCATTGTGCTTCGCTTGTTAAAATGTTCGACGGCGAATTATGGTTGTCTCTATATTTCAAGACGTTCATTCGTCGGCTAAAAGGATTCTCGAGATATAATGCCCCCGTTTGTAACAATCTACATTCGTTCGTTTTATCAGGAATTGCACGAGATTCAGTTTTCTTCTTACGATCTAAAAGTCACCTCTCAACGATGTCTTTTTTTCCTTTCAAATAGCCTCGAAAATTTCGCTACAAATTCTCGAGTTTAGGTATCAGGACGTGCATCGTTGACGAAATTCTAGCTTAAGAAGCTATCAGTTTCAACCCCTCGCCTTGCCTCTTAATTTCTCGAAACAGTCTCTTTTTATTGATAATACGAGAGCTTGTTGAACTACTTATTGGAAAATAAAAGGCTCGCCGCTTGATAGTCTTGATTGTTGCAATTTTTACAATTTAGTTCATCTCTAAATTGCTTAAATCTTCTGATATCGCAGAAGCTTCTCCTATTATAGGATGAACGTTTCATCGTAATTTTACTTAAGAACACAATTCTTTCGAAATTCTCGATAACAACAACGCCTCTCTTCGAAACTAACTTATTATCAGTCCACCGAAACGATCGTTTCACGGTATATCGCTACAATTCACGATCTATCGGGCACTTTCTCACCGATACAGATCGATTTTACCCTAAAAAACCTTTCGTTTCACTTGTCCCATTTTCTCTCTCTCTCTCTCTCTCTCTCATCCAGTCTTCTCTGATCACTGTTCTCTCCACTGTCACAAAAAAACTTCTCCTGTTTTCTTTTTTTCCTCTCTCTATCTCCGTCAAACATCAAAGTTTCACCACTGTTCACAGAGTTGGCCTAGAAAAAACCAGCAATTGCCTAGCTAGCACACACCGCCGTTCGTTCCTCCTCCTCCATTTTTCGTTCGGTTGCAGCGGAATCGATCCTTGGGCGATTTCAAACCCTGGTGACAGTAATCCCCGGTCTCCCGGGGCCGAAGGCCTACCTGGACGATCTCGAGGATCGATTCCTGTATCTGCAGAGCAGCACCTTCTTGAAGGCCTGCCGGAAAACCTTGTTGAAGATCGTGTAGAAAATTGGGTTCACCATGGAGCTAGCGTAGCCCAACCAAGTGGCCAGATCGAAGATCTTCCGGTCGATCTGTCTTTCGCAGTCGGGACATACGGCTGGTATCAAATTCAGAACGAAGAACGGCGCCCAGAGTATGACGAACGTGAAGAAAACAACGCCGAGAACTTTGGTGGCTTTTTGCTCGAGCCTGATGATTCTTCCGTGACGAGAACTGTCGCGAGATACCACGCTGCTGGTTCGTGAATGACGGCTACGAATCGGTCCGGAGTATCTGTGCAGACAGGGAAATGACGAATTGCTGTTCTGTTTCGAGCTGATGCTAGCTGCACCGTTATGCGCCCTCATCGTCGCCGCACGTCTTATCGGGACCGTTCTCGACGCTAGCAGAGAGGTTCGCGTGCTTCCTGTGACATTAAGAAGAGGGATTGTGAGGATTTGGAGTGCTCCGTTGCAAATTGGTTGAGCGATGGTTTTCGACATTTTTTATTTCAGCGCGTATCGATCTCTCTTTTGTAGTTTCTCCTAGCTTTTCTGTGTCTCTCCTTCGGTTCTCTATTCTAGAGCAATTTTTTTTTTACCTTTTCTTATTTAAATTAGCTGTCTTATTTCGTTAAGTATGGTTGAATTATTCAGTTGTTTCAGAAAAAATTATTCTATAACGACTAGAAAAATTTAGTTGTGATGCTTGAAAATTCAGTTTGAATATATAGTAATTTAGTTGACGTTGAAAGCGTTTGAGGATTAATTAAAATTTCTAATTAATCGAGGTTTGTTCTATTATATATTTAGATTAACCACTGCTGGTTAATCATTTTAGTCACTCAACTATGCAACAATTTTTCGCCTATTTTATTCACGAACTAAAAATTCCCAAATCTCGATAGTTAATTTCTGTTCCCAATCACTCTAAGTAAAAACGCGAGGGATTAAATCTATCGAAATTGGAAATCTCCGATCATTTGATACACTCGAAAAGCCTACCTAAGCTCGAACCCCTTCTTCCTCCTCTCCATGTGACAACGGAATTCAACTCGTAGCTTCTGTTCACCTCCATCTTGACACTATTGTTTCTCCCCAAGAATCCCGCCTCGAGATTCTTCCCCGAGATTGGCTTCATGGTGTCGCTGGAGACGATTACAATCTCGCTAGATGGTTGGGGCGGTGGTTTCTTGGAGGATTCGCCGAAATAGGGACAAGTGCAAGGTGGTGGTAGAGCGATTTCGCCTTCCTGTTTGTCGTTCGACTTCCTCGGCACGTTCTCCTCGTTTGACGAGCTCTTTCTGGACTCGGGGCTATGAACAAACGCCGGATGCTCGTGAAAACTGAAAGATCGTTTCCTAGGTGTCCTGGGCGAGTCTGAGTCGGCTCGATCTAAGTGAGTCTCGTTGAACGTGGAGGCTCGCCGACGATGCTTCCACGGTGTCGGGGAGCTTAGGTCCTCCTGCATCGAGAGGCTTGTTCTGGAACCGGAAGCACTGCTGCCGCCGCTTTCGGCGCTCCTGCAATTTTGAAAGATCGTGGTTATTATTTTGTGAAAAAGAGAGTTTAGAGGCAACGGTATTGGATATATTTTGTAAGTTGATAATGGGATTAATTGGGAGAAAGATATTGTAATATTTGTTAAGATGTGTTTATTGGTCTATTAAATTTCAATTTAAAAAAATTATTTACATTTATTAAATTTTGAATAAAATAAGACTTACTCCTTTATTAGTCAATTTTTCGACTATGTTAGGAATTCAGCTTTGGAAAGTTTGCACACAGTACAATAACAATATCTTATTCGTGTTTCAATTTCAAAAATATTTTCAAGACACTTTTTACGATTATATATCGAATGCATTTCCAAGTTATTTGTGTATTAATACTTTTCTCTTCCTTTTATTTCTATATTGCACGTATCAATTTGCTTTTTGCAAAAATCCCCACTTTCTCGGCTTCGGAAGACCTGAAATTCCATTTCTTCGTTGTCGTTCGACGTGTCTTCTGTTTATTACTCTCTGGAAGAAAAATGTTAGCTCTATTATAGAACGTTATTCTTGTCCGTCGGTTCGGTATACGTAGCCGAGAAGCTCCCGTGAAATTTGAAAAACAGTAGAGAAGTTATCCGAAGAATTCCTCCAATAATTAACTTGTCGGTGAAATGAAAAGCCGTGTCGGCTCGGTGAAGAATCTTCGTCGATGGTATTGTACAATATTTCATATTACAGAACCATTATTAAATAACTTGGCGATAGATGGATAAAAAAAAGCTTATACTTGATCGAAATCTGAACATTTTTGTCGTAAATATGATCAGTTTGTTCGATCTTGCAATTTTTTTAAATTCTTAACCATTTAGAAAAAAGAAGCTCGATTGAACCCAAAATTCACAATTAACCCCTTGAATTATAATTGTTTTACCGACTATGCATGTTACTATT